ATTCTATCAGTATATAAGGTGAACTTGAGTATATGGTTTCTGGACAATAGAATGTTCATCAGCAGTTCTAGGGCTCTTACAGCATAGATTCCTAGGTTGTAAATTGTGGGTGTACCAGACAACGATGACGAGATAAGGACTGACCATGGTACTAGACTGTGTTAGACTGTAAGATTAATGGAGATGCCATGTCTCAAGCTTTACAAAGGACAAATAACAATTCACCATAGTGTTTTTTTCATCTTTTCAAAATAGGAAAAAGAGCTCACATTAAAAGATATCTTGTATGCATTATTAACTTTTGATAGGAATGGTATAACCAATAATTTCAATTGTATTATTTTTTATTAAATTAAGCATCTAAATATTTGCTTAATTTAGTAATTATATATTTTTTAATGCCATATTCAATTGTATTATTTTTTATTAAATTAAGCATCTAAATATTTGCTTAATATATACCTTATATTATTTGGTTTTACTTATTGACATATATTAATATGTATTATTAATATGGTGTTTTCGAAATTACAAATAATTATATTAAGTACATTATTATTTTGTCTGTAATCAGTGAAATAATTTAGGTAACTACAATCTCTCAGTACAAATGACCTCATCCTCGTTGCATGTCTGAAAGATATATTTTTTCAAACTCTCTCTAACTTTCTCAAACAATATATCTTTTAAAGAGACACTAGTCTCCAAAATGTCTGGCAAGTTTTGTCAAGATAGCTAGCATATCTAATATTTATAGCTCTATACAAGCTGAATCTCAGAGGTCAACTCAAGACATAATATAGGAATTTTAAGGAAAAATCCAAAATTATTCCTAGTCCAACATTGCCCTCTTAAGATAATTGCGGGGATAATTTTGCAGTAAGATGATCTGGGCCGTGACGTCATAATTAAGTGAGATAAGCGTGGCTCTCCCGGGTTTTTAGGTGATAAAAGTTGAGAGAGTTTGGGAGAGGGGGAGAGAAAAACTGACACATACAACACACGGACACATACACAGTAGGGAGCTGATCAGAAGCTGACTGAGAGGTTGCAAAACATCTCCAGTCCTTATACTGACACAAAGCTGACATCACTGATACCAAAGAATCTCCAGAGTAGTGGTAAGGTATAACTTTGCATTTATCTGTAGGCAGGTTATACTAGCCGTGTATATCTAACTAAACCATTTAGTCTAACCAGTCAGTTATTACTAGCATCGGAATTGATTTAAAGTCATTTTAGCTGCAGTAAATTTTGTCTTCATTTCAATTTTTGGGGGGGATTCTCATTGGAGTCTCCTCGAAGCAGACCATTGACTAGAAATTGATTTTAGTTTCTAGTCAATGGTTTGGTTTGTGATATATACATAAAAATAAAATAACTTAGCGGAAGTTTATCTTCACCTCAGATAGATTCTTGGCTGATTAGTTAGACCTCTGCATAGTATTCTAAATTAGTTCATGGGCAGAAAGGACTTTGAGAGCTTTGAATATATATTTTGCTGGGAGAGGTCACGTGTTGAATCTGCACATTGTTTTCTCACATCCCGCTGAGCTACTGAGAGTGTTACTAGCTGCATTTCAAGAGATATGTACGTTTTATTACTAATTCGAACAATATCCTATGGTTTTTATTTCTAATTATCATCTTTGCTGATCAATCTTATGGCATATTTTGATTCTTAATATGTATTGTCACCAATTATATTTTGATTATTTTGCACTGATTTTTAGTTAATAAATATATATTTTTTTGCATATTATAGCTTTTTATTTCATCTTCAAATTAGTGCAAATAAATAACTCAGCTTATCAGGTAATTTATGAAAATGAGTAGGGAATGTTCTTAATTCTAGATCCTGAACACTGTTTTTTTTTTCAGCGTAAACATTCTGACAGTCCCCACAGCCTCTACTTCTCTGGGCTTCAGTGTTCTAAGGGCCTTTGGCATTATCAAATCTTATGGAGGTCCATAGACCTGCATCAGATGTGAGGGTGTGGAGGGACATTTCATCACTGAAGCAGAGGGGGAGAGAGCAGTGACATGCGGTACCTCGTTCCGGGTGAGGCTTTTGGTCCAAGCCATCCACAGAGCTCACGCCTCTAACAAAGAGTAGGGGCTGTTACAGCTCTTGCCTCAGTAGTTAGGTTACACAAGCAGTGGGAAAGCCCACTACTGTGCAACCTAACTACCTGTCAAAAGCTGGGTGCAGCGCTGTCTGTAAGTAACAGGCAGCTCTCCATCCATGACAGGTTACACTTCAGGGAGGATTTCCCTGCTCTGTAACCTGATAGAACCTGATCTAAATGGAGAAAAAGCTGTCAGCTTCAGGCTTGAAGCTGACAGCTTTTTCTCCATAAAACTAGGTGAGGCTCTGCCTCACCTGCCTCCCCTGACCGCACATCCCTGGGAGAGAGAACTGCCGCAGAACTGAGGATCAGGTAAGTAAAACTGCTTTATTTAAGCCCCCTAGACAAAACGAGCACTTAACCCTTTTAGTGCGGGGGTAGCCTCACAGCAAGGGTAGGTTTGTGATTTTCCCGGAGTTCTTCTTTAACCGACTGGTTTTACTTGTCTCTTGCAACTGCTCTTTAAGTGATCCTTTATTTATTTCAAACCTCCGGTCAGGACCTTCAGACATTCCAATGATTGTATGTTTAAAGGAACTATAGGTTAATCCTACTTTAATACACTTTGCCTTTAGTAAGCCATTCCCTATGTACAGTATCTGGTGTCATTCTTTCTCCCTCATTTCATGTGAGCAGCAGAGAAATAAACCAATGCAAATTCCTACTGAGTAGCTTCTAACCTAAAATTTTATTTTTCTGTCCAGCTTTGTCTCTGACCCAGTCCCCCAAATCACATTATTACCTGACTAAAATGCAAATCACTGTGGCAGTAAACCAAGAGACTTACTGTATCTGACAGGAGCTGCACATGCAGTCTTTTAATCATGGAGCTGAACCATAGTTCATGTCTCTGTTCAAACAGGGCCATTGGCTGGATGTACAGTGTACGTCTCCCGTCACGAAGGGGTTAAAGTCCTGGACCAGACACCAGCCATAGTAGGCAGACAAGAAGCAGTGCCGGCAAAATATTGTAACCGCTTGGAAAAAATTCCGATTACTGTTTTGACACAGAGAAAGCCCTTCTGCAGATCAGCTTACCATTAACATTATCAGGACTATTCAAGAAAGTAGTGATAAGAATAATGACAATATAGTATGTGGTAACTCACAGCAACCAACCAGACTCCTATTTATTAACATCAGATCAGTGGAAAATTAATTCTGATTGGTTGTTATAGATTGTATTCACAATCCTTTTTTCCATATTAACTATTCGAGGTCTAGCAACTATTTACTCCTTATGAACCAGGTTAATATGTTTTCATTTTAGGTATATGCCTATTGGGTTCAAACAAGAGGTCGAAATTTCTTAGATAACATAGAAGCATATATTTTGTTCCCCAGTTTTAACCAGTGACTCCCAGTTTTAAGTCGCTTTAAAACTATGTTATTGTGGATACAAAGTTGAAGTTTTATTCTGCTACTGGTTTTTCAATGCTATGATTATGTATCTAATAAAAAAAAACTTGATGAACCTATATACCAATGAAGTATGGTTTTTATGTGTCTGGAGTTCAGATTTAAAGTGACATAAAAACTTAGGAGTTAAACTTAAAAATGGATTCAAGTACCACCACTCCAAGCTTGTTCCTGTGATGGACTATAATCTCATGTTTAGTTTAGTAATTTGTATTGAGCTTGTAGTCTATCACGTGAGTGAGCTTGGAGTGGTGGCTACTTTACACTACACACAGGGACCATGGGGAACAGGAAGGACAGTGTCAGCACCAATTCAGAGATGATTTGAGGATCTGCAGCCGAGTGATACACAAATAAGATGCGTTAATAGTTAAGGTACCTAAATGCATTTTTTAGATTTAACTCCTGTATTTATTGTCACTTCGAGCTTGTGTAAGCACAACAGATGACAGTCAGGGCCCCCTATGCCAATATTCCTTATAGAGACACTGGAACTTTTTCCATACAAGGCAAAATAATTAACTCCAGAGTTTCCATGTCACTTTAACACAGCAACTCCAACCACCCCCACACCCCCCCAAAAAAAACCAAACATAAACAAAAACTGCATAATAACAGAGAACAAATTAAAATGGTGTCAATGGTGCAAAGAAATTCGTCCAATAACGAATTTCGGGAAAACGGGAATTTCGGATTCGTTTGCATTCGTCTTAGCTGTAATTCGGAATTCGGATGCATCCGAATCTCCGAATTTCCGAAAATTCGTCCAAAACGAATTTCGGAACGAACCGAATCGCACATGTCTACAAATTAGAACATTTGTTAAATAAAGGAAATAAGGATGTGGAAAGTGACAGGTTTCCTGCAGATTTGCACATCATGGCTGCAGCAGTGTAACTTTGTAACAGTTCTGTAAAATTACACTGAATGATTGCTGTCACTAGCTGCTACAGTGAACATTCAAGCAGGAGCAGCTATGATTGGTTTCTACTCATCAAACATAGTTGTTAGCGTTCAAACTGTCAATGGGTTCCGGCGGTGGTGTACCTGGAACCATGTACAGCATGGGTGAAAGTCAGCATCTTATATAAATGTTCTAGAAACTTGCACAAAAGCCTTTATGATGTTTCTAGATGTTGCATAGAGAATGCATTAATCTGCATCAGCAAATAAATAAGTCCAACTGTGCCCAATTCTATAGAAGCAAAGACCAATCATGCGAAGACTATACATTTTCCATCAACATCATTATTTTGAAACAGAGAAAATAAACATCATTCATGATTGGTTGCTATGAGTTAAATATCTTTTTTTTAGAGTACTGCTAAATAACTTTTTTTTTTAATGTACTGCCAGCATTTGATGTGATCAACCAATATTGTCTGTCAGCATAAAAGTATTGGCATTGATCGCCTCATGCGTCCACTGTCTTATATTAGAAAATATACTCACGAACATCTTCTTCTCTATCAATAACGTTGACTCATTCCGCTCCACATTCAGCTTCACCACATGACCCTGTTGTGTTCTAAATAACAATTCCTTGCCTGGAAATAAAAGAAATAAGATATTGATGAAATGTAAACATAGTTGTATTGTTACAAATAAACAGTTATTGAATGAACATGCTACTTGTATTATCAAAACATCAACAAAATAAAGTAAACACTACAAAAAGATTATAAAATAATATATTTGGAATGAGTAATAATCTAGGTACCCCATCCCTATCATAACTATGTCATACAAAACATGGGACCAAATTACGAAAGTAACCTGTGCAAAACCAATTGTATAAAAAGAACAGTAATTTTTGCTCACATAA